GTACTGCGTTACCCCTGCACTGGTTCACCTCAGTATCTTGTATAATAATCTGCTGTTCTTGTCCACAATAACTGACCTCAATGAAAGCCTCATTCCTCATTTTATTGTATCAGTACTACATGAACTTTATAAAATAATATTTTCCAGTTCTTTAGTCACCAAGCCACACAGTTCAGAATTCTTTAAGTTTGGAGATGCTGTTGAAAGTAATCAGAGTCATTGCAGAATGTCTGTGGGTATTCCTCAGTAGAAATGTTGGCAGAAGAGAAAATCCAGCCAGTAAATTGTATTCTTTACAAGTCTCATAATAAAGAAAAAGAAAAAAAAGTTCATCGGCAACAAAATTTATTATTTCTGATTTTTCAGTGGTAATTCTGAGACACTTAATTCTGCTGAGACTTTAAAGCTTTCCTTTGAACACTTAATATTTTAAATTTAAGTATTCATTCCTGTGCTCAAAAAATAAGCTTTGCAGTAGAATTAGTTTCATCGATGAGCAAACATATAATATTTCACTGATCTAAAACAGATGATAATTTCAATGTCAAGTAGATCTTGTCTAGTAAAAGAAACTCCTAAATTTTTTATCTCAGTGTCCAAAGATGCTTAGACTGCTCTCTGTGTAAATGACAGATGAAAATACTGCACAGTGTACTTAGAGAGAAACTGTTACCAGACACAATGGTAGCTGTGAGATTCTTTTTTAGTAGACTTTGGATTGTGAAATGAAAATACTTAAAGTTACCAGAATCATTTACAGAGCATTTTCTTTGCAGCTCTTTTTATATCTTTTCTCACTTTTTTCTCTGCAAGTGTTTCTCTGCCCCTGGTTCTGCCTGTAACAAACTCAAAAACAATACTGAAGGGTTTAAGTTTTGCTGTTTATTGGGCAGTTAATCTTTAGAAGACTAGAACTATACAGTATCTTAGGACAGTATTTCTCTTTTTTTCTGTGACACAATAACCTATAAAAAATTACTTAGCAAGGTATTTTTTAAATTTTAATAATTGCAATTCAACCTTGTCTATATAGAATTTTGGAGGGTTTAGCACATTTCTCTTGGAGTGATGTTCACTTCTAAAGTTTCTTTCCTCTTTTTAATATTGCTCCTTTCTTGTTATATGTAGTTAAGTCATATCAAAAAGTTCATGCATTTCAGGCAGTATTTCAGAGAAAATTACAAAGGAATTAATCACTGAAAAAACAAGCAGAGTACATGAGTTAAACAATGAAAGTTTAAAAGTACCCATGTCATTAGAATTGATAAAGATCCAGGAGCTATTATGTTCTTGAAGGCTCAGACACAAAATTGAAAATGGGTAACATTTGTGAATCAAACAGATAGGCAGTGCAGACCTGTTAAAAGAGCCACAACACTGTCATCTCAAAATGGTGGAAATCTCAAAAATGTGTGTGAAGGCCCCTGAAATGCTTAGTCCTTAATCCAGGAGTCAGATAACACCACATGAAACATTAAGATCCTTTCCAAAAAAAAAAGGTTATGTTTGAAGAACGCAACCGCTTCTTGCAGTTATAATTGAAGAAGTGGAACTTCTGGGGATGTTCGAGTCAGTTTGTGCATCTGAGGCCTGTACCCTTTGTATTGGAGAGATACTGAGATATTGAGTAAAGACAATATATCTGTATGTTTTCTAGAAGTGGAATGTATTATTATCCAGATCTTCTAGTATACAATTAAACACTTTTTACCTGAATTCAGTACAGTTTGGTTAGTCACGTGCAGAAGATACAAGAAGAATCTCTCAAGAAAAAGCAGATGCCCAAACTGTAAGTAATAATAAACCATCTTCTTTTAAGTCTGGCAGATAACACTTGTTAGTCTAAAAACATGCAGTGCCAAAGCTTTCAGACTTGAGTTTATAGGAGTACTCAGCCAGATCACTTCAAAGTTACAGTAAAAGTATCTCCAGTCCAGTCACATACCTCCTCTGTTAACTGTGAGGCTGTTTACAGCCTCGTTATTACAAAATAATGGTAAGATTTTTTAGCTTTTAATAATTACAAAGTAGTTTATTACTAAATAATTTTTGTGGAAATCCAATACCACCACCATCCTTTCACGTAATCTGTTTTCTGCCCTGAGGTGACATTGTGTAATAGAAGCAGCAATGCATGTCAGAGTATTAGTTTATTCACAGGTCTGGAAGGCCAAGTGATCTTGCAGCTGCCTAATCCTGTGCACAGAATAAAAAAACCCAGCAGATCCATCCCATTTGTTCAGCTGAACCTAGTATAAGTTAAGGTTAAACATTCTCTCCCCAGCAATACTCTGTGGGGAAGTTGATGATTTGAGGACAAAATTAAGTGCAATTTTATAGATTCCCAGGCATCTTGGATATCTGTAATAGACTGTAATCCACCAGCTTTTAATCCTCTGTCTGAATAGTACATTAGGGAAAAATTAAGAATCTGACATTTTATTTTTCCAGGCATTTTAAACTGAAAGCAGGTGAGAGGTGAGAAAGTGGGATGTAAACATGGGGCATTTTTCAAAATCATGGGGCTGTACAGCTTCCTATCCGTACAGCTTCCTATCCATACGCAGCTAATTGTGCTAAATTTCACTTGAGATCTATGCAAGGACAAGCGATGCTTGTATTGTCCAGACAAATGTATTGTGATATCCAAATCCCAAAACCTAATTTTCAATATCCACTGCTTAATGCTGGCAAAAGATAATTACTCTCTTTTGGAAAACATCATAGATGCTCAAGGGCAGGCTGGACTTCTGCTTTAATTATAGACAGAATCACTAGATGGAGCCAGAGTCAGCGCTGCAGGAAAGCATTTTATAACCAAGAGTACCCTGGACACGTCAAAATTTCCTACTGCATGAAGATCTCAGTTCATTTTTCAAGCACAAATTTTCAACCACATGTATATGTAACTACAAGATCACTGAACTGTTAAATTAATGGTTCAGTTTTAGTGTGATATTTTTTGTGTAAATTGCATGTAGTTGTAATATAGTCATGGGTTTACATTAAGTCTAGCTGACCAAAGGCTTTAGATTCTCACAGACTGCATGGGTATTATTAGAAAAAAGAGAGAAGAGAGGAAGGGAGGGAAGGGGAGGGGAGGGAGAGGGAGAGGGGAGGGAGAAGGGGAGGGAGAGAAAACATAATTTCTAGTTTCAAGGTAATTTTCAGTAGGAGAAATGCTCACAAGCAGTTTCTGGTACAGAGAAACAGGTCGAGTGATTTGAGCTCTCTGCGCTGCAAGTGTGATGACCACCTTGGACTGGGGTTGTGACAGGGTGTGTGCTTCACCTCCTGCTTCTCTTTAATTGCCAAGGGAGATGAGTTTGAGGTGCTTCTTAAGGCCTCACGCATATTTTCATCAAGGACATGACAGGACCAAAGCACCTTGCACACAGTTTGCTGTGCTCATGGAGGAAGGTAGAGTGGCCAGTCTACTCCCACTGACCACTTTGGCTTGCTCTTTTTGAAGCAGTTTAGAAAATGACAGTGATCTTATTGGAAGAATTTTAAAGCACAGGAAAGTATTGTAAATGAAAAGTAGATGCTAGTACATGTTCAGTTTCCTCTCTGTCCAGCTCTCTTGTGCCTCTGAGGGCTGTTCATAAGTAAGGGCTGTGTTAAGCCTGTCCAGCAAGAATAATTGTAGGCAACCTTTTTATTTCTCCCCCAGAGGATCCAAAAACACCAGAAGCCCACACACCCAGTTTTTTGCCTCCTCTTGTAATGAAATAGGTCAACAAATCATGACAGGACTAAGAGGAGAGTGTGGAGAGTTAGTAATGCATGGACATCCCTAAACACATCCACACAGAGAAATATTTAATTATATGCCTGCTATTAATAGCCTAAATAGGTATAGTTGTGATGGTGGTTGAGGACTACAGCTCCCTCAGCCTATCTGAATTAGGTGTATGGATTGTGACAAGACTCTCTGAAGCAAATCAGTGGTATTATTTAAGAGGGAAAAGCCATCACGCAAATAGGGAAGGCAAGACCAGAATGATACTTTCCACAAGTGTTCAGCAGGATAAGGCTTGACCTGCAAAACTGAGCAGGGAATGAGACCCATTAACACATTTTACAATCTATTTGCAAGGAATTTTCTCTGTAAACCTACCTAAAACCATGTTACAAGACCTTAACCTATGCTCTTGCATGTTTGTACAATTTGGTTTAGGTTTGAAATAAAAAAAAACCAACCAGCTCATAGAACAGTTGGTGAGACAATACAAATTCCAACACATACCATCCTACAGCCCCCATCAGTCTTGGAATGTTATACTAGAAATGCTAACTGCTCTCCAGGAGCACAGAAAGCTCCTCTAGTGATTTCAGGCTAGCAGGTAATGGCAAATAGCTGAGGAAGGACAGTATCAACACATACTCAAGCTTGGGATTTCCAAATTGTACTTTTGTTACACATCAAACCAGGTCAGAAGGTCTGTTCTGCAGCAAGCAGGAACCTTCTTTTTTCTCCTGCTGGAGCACAGATTTTCTAATTCTGCTTATTCCTTGAGTAATTTTGACATGGAAGCAATGTCCTGCAACGTAATTTTAACTAGGCTGATATGACTAAGCAATACTATTGGAAAATCAGCTGAACAGCAGATTTGTATTTTGTCAAAGCTACAATTTTATGGTTAATGCAGGTTTTAAGAAAGCTGTTCTGTAGCATCTCTTCAGATAAGACCTACAATCACACAATGGTTTGGCAGTCAACCAGGATGGGGCACACAAAGAAGAGGCAGAAGTATACTTGGAGGGTTGCTCCATGCTAATATGCATGGCAGATGCCTGTTTCATGCTTTACCCTTTGGCAGCCAGCTATGATGTCAGATAGAGCTGTACTTGATGAAGCAATTTATATTCACTTCCTGCTATTTTGACACTTTCGAGTGCTTCCACACCCAGAGGACAACCTCTGAAGAACTGCTTGCTGGTATCATCTCCACCTAAGAGATTTTCCATATAAAAACTTATTAAAAAATTGAAGAATTATGAAAATAACGTTTTTATTTGCAGCATTGTTTTTATTGGATTTCTTCACTTGCTTTCATGCTTATCTACAATATTCCTTTCCTGACACAGAGGATGCAAAGTTCATTAGAGACTGTGTGAGAGCTCACAACACATTTCAATCTAAAGTGAATCCAGCAGCCATATGTTTCGCATGATGAGATGGTGCTTGTGATCTGCTTGAAATTACTACAGACTGGGCTGCTGATTTAGCCCATCTTATTCATTGTTTGCATTGTGCTATTCTTTCCTTTCAGTTAATGATTTCTGTACTACATGTGTTCTTTGCAGGAAATAGAAAAGACATTTTCACAGTATTGTTCAGTTTTAATAATGTGAAGGGAATTTCTTATTTAGCAAAAGATTGCTACTCTCAACTTCAGCCAGAGCAAAGGGCTGTATTGCAAAAAACAGTGTTCGTTCAGTTCAGCTTTATCTACCTCTTTGTAAGAGAGATAGTAATCTGTTTTATGTCAGGTCAGGTTTCATACAGGGAAGCTGTTTGGTATTAAAAAGTGCCAGAGCAGCCAATCTGCAGAACAGGATTTGTTGGAAATCTATCATCTCCTGTTGTTTCTTCCAATCTAGAACGTGTTGAATAAAGGGATTTGCCAAGACAGCCATTTAGATACCTGATCTTCATTTGCTGTAGCAGGGTTTGAAGAATAGGAATAGTAATATCTGGGCTGGAAAGCAGAGCTTCCTGCAAATACAATGGATATCAGAACAAGCTATGGGGTAGGTCTCAGCTTGTTCAGTGGAATACATAAGGTAAAAGGGTGTATAGCTAGCTGAGGGATGTAACCCCAGTCAGTTCATGTCATTTCTCCACTCCCTCCAGCAGTGCTGCATAGCTGGAAAGGACCACATGCACAATATGAATCATTTCTATGAATGGAAGTTCACAGTAAAGGGGTAAAATTCAGAGTACCAGTATTTTAATGTCTTGCCATTTTAAAAACAATGTTTAATTAAAAAAGCTACCACACAAGAACAAACTTACTTGCTTAGACCAAAGATCCAGCACACCTGGAATAACAGCAGAACAAATATAGAGAAACCTCTTGAATCAAAGGTGTTCCATGATAGCTAAAAGCTCTTAATGGATTTTTTTAGACTGCAGTCCAGCTCTAAATATTTTAACAAATCAGATACAATAGGACATTACGAACTACCACTGAATGATACTCGCATTTCTTTCCTCTTCTGATCTCTTTCCAGAAAATACAGACCAGGAGAAGCTGATAAGTATGTATACAATTGTTCTTAATTGCTTTTCTATAAGTATGTCTAAGTTTGATGGGTCTTAACACCTGTTTCTTCACTGACTTTTAGATTATGCCAACTGGTATCTAGACTGGGATACACAGCCCTAGCCCCAGCGGCCCTGCATCCCCAGTCCTCCTGTGCCAAAATACGTTCCACCTGCTGAGCATCCATGTCCCTCTTGCGACCAATACTTAGTGTTTTAATTTTAAGGCCACTGTTTCTAGTACTGAGTGCTGGTGCTGTTCTTTTAGTATGACAGTGATTTCCACACACATTTTTTTATTAGTAATGGTCAATTAAGATACTGATAGCGATCCTACTGCTGTATTACTGTTAGACAATTGCACACATTTAAAAAAACCACTTCGTCATCTCCCCATTATCCCTGTGATGTTTATCCAGCGTAGGAAAGGCTGCTTCCTTACTCAAGGCAAGACATAAGTGGCTATGCATACAGTTAATATTATTAATTTATTGGCAATAGATGCAATATGGTCCCATGTCTGTATGAGCCTCTTAGCTCTGGCTCCAGGCTAGCTCACTGCTAGAGGGACCACATACACTATCTATTACTAAATGTACTAACAAGCCTCCTGGAAACCTGGCCATCACAAAGACATGTCTGAAGTGGCACACTGTATCCAAAAAGAGGTAATAACTCATCTCCATTAACCTTCAGTTATCCCAGACACAATTTTCCCCAGATAACAGAGATTTAACTGTATGTATTACTTTTTATGAACAGAAGAAAAGCTTGTCCTTTACTATATTTAGCCTACGTGTGTCAGTATCTATTAAAGTTACTCTATTGTCAGTTGTACTGTTCTGTTCTTCTCCTCTCAAGAGTTAAGCTTTGTTCTCCATAGCTAGAAGAATACCAGGGGAAGTTGATGGAGCAAGGATTAAGGTAGGGTGTCAATGAGGAGAGCTTAATTTTAGGATGTGAGATGGTGACAAAATCCTGACTTTTCACAAAGGGGAAGATGGGGGGAGCAGGGAGGAAAACAGGAAACAGAAGATGAAATGGGTCCAGGACAGATTCTGATTTAGAAATGGAAGATCTCAGTCTCATTTTAAAAGCCCAAACCTTTGATGGATTCAGTTTAAGAGCTATTTAGCCCTCCACCCCTACTGTTCCAATATACATTTGTTAGTAAGGGAAACAAACCTATCTTTCTTTCAATCTTAGAGATACTAACCAATATTAGCAATGCATAATTGTGCTATCAATATTTAAAGCTGTTTCTCCTCCTTTATCTTTGTCCTAATGTTTTAAGAACACAGTGACTGAAATTCTAAGCCACATTGCAGCTCTGAACACTCACGGCATCCCACAATAAAAATGAGCCCCAGCTGAGGTTCTTGTTAATATATCCCTTCGGATGTATTAGAATGAAACAACACTGAATGACTGATGTAAAGAAGGGAGGAAAGAAAGAAGGAAAGAGGGAGGAAGGGAGGAGGAAAGAAAGAAGGAAGGGAAAGGAAGAAAAAGAAAGAAAAAGAAGTGGCAGCCTTATTTTAGAACAATTTGGTTGCAATGGAAAGGAGGTAGGTAGCTGTTTGGGTTACCTGTAGAAATAAAACAATATAAAAGTATAAAAACATCACCAAGAAAATATGTAAGAAAAAGAAAGAAAGAAACAGCAACAGCCTTAACAGCATTTATTTTCATCAAAAGCAGAAAATTTAACCAAAACTCTTCTGCAATCCATAGTTATTGCTATGAAAGGGATGACTGGGGCCAAGCCAACCATAACAAGAAAGCCCAAAGGACAGGAGAGAAGTTTGCCCGCCACAATTAGAGAAAGAAGAAAACAAGACAGAGGCACAGCTGCCACAGCTTTGATGTGAACTTGTAGCTTAATTTCCTTATTCTCATAGCAACGTTCTTGAAATGATTCGTTTCCTCTGACTAATGCCATATTCAATTACCATGCCTGAGATAAGTCCAGCCCACAAGCCTCCAAAGCAAAACGCTGCTGGTGGAGCTAAAACCACCTCGTACAGCTGCAACACTCTGCCTCAAAGCTGGAAGACCAGATGCTGAAACGCATGACTGTAAGGAAAGGGTTAATCACACTTGCAGTATATGCCGTAATAAGCGCTCGGTGGTGGAGCTTGCAGAAAACTTCACGGACGCCTGTGCCCAAACCGCAAAAAGGAACTAAGTCTCAGTTCTGGCCCTGCGGGGGCAGGCTCGACACAGATACTCCTCACTGCAGCGTTCCATTGCGGTGTGTTATACGGCGAAGTGAGTGACTGCACAAGCACAAGAAGTGGGGTCACACACAGGACACTTGGTTTAGGGGGTACTTGCCTCGTACGACTCCCAGAGTAGACTCTCGACGACGCCCGAATTCGGACCCGAACGCGCGCACTGCCCAAACCCCCCCTACCCTCGCAGCTCGTGCTACTGGGGCACTGAAACCACGCCTCCCCTCCCCTCCCATGCTAATGAGGGACTGGATAAAAGATACTTAGGGAGAGGACGCGCCGTTTTGCCAGCGCTTAGAAGGCCGAGGCAGACGGGTGGTGCTGGATCCACGGCGGTGACTTACTGCTTGCACCATCTATCTTCTCCCTTTCTCTCAATGACAAGCAGATTTTCTGCTTGTGTTCTGGCTTTACTGCTCTTCTGTCATTTCTCTGACTCCTATGAACCATCGACGTTGCCTGATATTGAAGATCCAAAGTTTATTGAGGAATGTGTGCAAACCCATAACAGATTCCGGTCTGGAGTGGATCCACCAGCCAGCAACATGCTCTACATGGTAAGGGGATCTTCATAACTTATGTCCAAGTGTGTAGCATTGTGATGGTGTTTATGATTCTCAAAGATTACTTTCTGATTAAATGCAAAAAATAAGAAAATAAAAGGAAAAAAACCAACCTCCTAGGGACATGAGTGACTACTTTTTAAAGCAGAGGAAAAAAGCTCTAATTATCAGGTGGCTTTATATGATCGGGTGTGTGTATGGTTTTGCCATGACTTAAATTCGTCATTCGAAACCCAGGATTTCAGCTCTCAACCTAACGTTGTTTTGTACTGTGAAAAGCCTCCTCGTTCCGAGACACCTCACACTGCTCAACAGCCCAAGGTGCGATTTATGTGCAGACCTAAGCACACCCTTTCATGCTTCAGTCGGCAAGGACAGAGACTGTCTTGCCAAACGAGGCTTTCTCTGCAAGGCTCTTACCTGCTGAGCCAACAGAGCTGTTCCTTGGTGCTGGGGCTGCAAGGAAAGCCCAAAAGCAACAGGAGTAAGCGCTAGGGGCATCAGGTTCCAGGCTGCTCTGCCCCCTCCTTGCTCCCTGGACACATAACGGAGTGATATCTGCAGCTACCGCGCGAAAGACAGTCTTTCTTCTTGGGATAAGCTCCACAGATCTCTCAAGTGGACCATCGCCAATATCCTAATTCCGATCTTTTGTTTTGCTCCTTTTCCATACCATCTCACATGATCACCACCAGAATAGGACATAACCACAACTGTAATTAACAACACCCCAACTGACATTAAAAAATAAAATGTTCATTTTCCATTTCTGGTTGTCAAACACTAAAAGACAAGTGTCCACTAGGGAGAGGTAAGTGAGCAGCGGTCAAGCTCGGATTTCACACCTGACAGGAAATAATTTAGTTTCTCTTCTAGATGCATCTTTTACTTCAGCTTTCTTCAGCTGGGCATGCTGAACTTCCAGTGCATGTTGCTTCGGACTCTTATTTTCTGCATTTCTTCACTGGCCCTACACCAACAAACTGTTGCTAGGATGTGTTAGAAGAGCAGTATTCATCTTTTTAAATTGGGCTTACTTTCTCCTTTAGAAAAAGTAAAGAACTGAAATCTGGGGGGAAAAAAAAGCAGCTTAAGAAACAAATAAATAAATTACATCTAAAACAAAAACTAAATCATGGTAAGTTTCTTTTAAAACACGGCAAAACCACTAGTCTTTAATATGATCTCTCCCAGGAACAATTTAATGTGAAGAAAGCAGTACGAGACATGATAAAATCTATAATGAAAGTAAAAGCATTGGAATAGAAAACAGCGTATTTCTTCACTTTTAGTGGTCTTTAGCACTTCAAAAAGGAGGAAAAGGAGATGGCTCCTTTACGTCATGGGGAACTTCTGTTTGCTGTAGATAACTGCCCACCTAGATATGTAAAAAGTAAGACTGTGAATTCAGGGCATTTCCATGTTTTGGAAAACTAGTTTTTAAAAGAAAATACAAGACAGAAATTCCTTTAACTGCAAGTAACAAAGCCCAACCATCAGTATTTGTAATACATGTATTATAAAATGAGAATGTTGATCTGAAAATTTTTTTACCTGACAAATGTGAGTCCTTTCTCATGTACCCAAAGCACAGCTTAGGTCTGTTCTGAGGCTCCTCAAAATTAGTACAAAGAGTCTCACCAGTTTCATCAGGACTTGACGACAGTCTCCTTTGACTTACTGCTGCCTTGCACCACTTATCATATGTTATACATTCAATTTTTCCTCCCTAAATCAGCAAGCAGCTCATTACAAAACCAAAACTGAGAAGCAGTTTGTGAGTGAAAATAATTGTAAGTACCGCTTCCTTAAACAGCAGTGAGACATTCTTGTCCTGTGCGTTTTTCCCCATGCTGTTTAGTCCAATCTTTTTGCATAAGTACAGTATTATAAGCAAATAAGGAGTATAACTACAGTTAAACTGAAGATCATTCTGAACTATCAGTTTCTGTACACTGCTTTTCAACTGTCAGCCAAGTTAAGCATTCACACGAAAATGGAAAGTATATTTAAACTTATTAACTTAGTATACCTTTATGGAACTTTAAACTTTTTATAGGATGAAGGGGAAAAGAGATGTGTAGGCTCTTAAAAAACAGAATGTGAAAAAAAACGACCGTGAAGCACTAAGGTGCATCCAACACTATCATACATCTTTCATCATGATCTTGAAAGTTATCATGTAAGGAAACACCAACTGCTCACTTGAAATAAAAGCCCCTGCCCCAAGTTTACTTTTAATATTTGATATACTGATTTCCTAGGCAAATTACTTATATGTTAGTTTTGTGGTTAGTATTTGGTTTGCATGGCAAGGTTTTGATAGCAAGGAGGCTACAGGGTGGCGTCTGTGAAAAGCTGCCAGAAGCTTCACCCTTGTCCAACAGAGCCAATGCCAGCCAGCTCCAAGAATGACCTGCCACTGGCCAAGGCCAAGCCCATCAGCCACTGTGGTTGTGCCTCTGGGATAATACATTTAAGAAGGGAAAAACTGTTGTGCACAAGCAATTGCAGCCAGAGAAGAGAGGAGTGAGAATATGTGAGGAGAACAACAACCCTACAGACACTAAGGTCAGTGGAGAAGGAGGGCAAGGAAATCCTCCAGGTGCGAGAGCAGAGATTCCCCTGCAGTCCGTGGTACAGACCATGATGAGACAGCTGTGCCCCTGCAGCCCATGGAGGTCCACAGTGGAGCGGAGATCCACCTGCAGCCCCTGGAGGACCCCACACTGGAGCAGGTGGATGTCTGGAGCCAGTGACCCAGTGGGAAGCCCACCCTAGAACAGGGTCCTGGCAAGACCTGTGGCCCCATGGAGACAAGAGCCCGCACTGGAGCAGCTTTGCTGGCAGGACTTGTGACCCCACAGGGGACCTACACTGGAGCAGTCTGTTTCTGAAGGACTGCAGCCTGTGGGAGGGACCACACCAGGGCAGTTCATGAAGAATTGCAGCCCATGGGAAGGATTCACAATGGAGAAGTTTGTGGAGAGCTGTTTTCTGTGGGAGAGACCCCATGCTGTAGCAGGGGAAGAGTGTGAGGAGTCCTTCCCCTGAAGAGGAAGGAGTGGGAGAGACAACATGCAACGAGCAGATTGCAATGCCCATTCCCTGTCCCCCTGTGCTGCTGTGGGGGAGGAGGGAGAGGAAAATCAGAAGTGAAATGAAGCCCTGGAAGAAGGGAGGGGTAGGGAGAAGGTGTTTCAAGATTTGGTTTTATTTCTCATTACCCTACTCTGATTTGATTTATAATAAGTTCATTTCATTTCCCCAAGTTGGATCTGTTTTGCCCATGGTGGTAACTGGTGAGTGATCTCTCCCTGTTCTTACTTTGACCTATGAGCCTTTTGTTGTATTTTCTCTCCCCTGCCCAGCTGAGGAGGGCATTGACAGAGTGACATTGGTGGGCACTTGACATCCAGCCAGGGTCAACCCAACACAGTGGGAAAATACACCCCCCCACAAATGTTAGCCATTGGAAGAAGTGGAAGGACATAGGTTACAGAATATTTTCAAATCTCTGTAGATGCATTTTGTTGTGATCCTGTGATTTTTAAATACTGATTGGTAGCACAAACAATACACGTTGTTTCAGACTTATCTATGGTACAAAGAAAGTTAGTTATGTAAAACATAGCAATAAAATCTAACAACCTACCTTTGTTAGATTTCTACCAAAAAAAATCTACCAATTACAAATTTACAGTCTACCTTTTCCCTTGTCATGGCTACTGATCAATTCAAAATGATTACAATTCCATCATTTGCAGAAGCAAGTGAGATATTTTAAGTAATTCAGAAAAGGACAAATAAAAAGAATGTTATTTAAAAAAAACTTCAAAATAGTTCAGCAGTGCTGGACAACTTTATTTTTGAAACACAAAGTATATCTAGAACTACAGGCACCCACTTGTGGTACTGTATCTTCCAGGAGGTACAATGCTGTAATCACTTAACCAAGTTGTTTGCACAAGAAAACCCAGCAAGAGCAGACACCACCTCCAGTGCAAACAAAAGACATTTATGTGACTCAATTGCCTAAATAATCACTTTCTGTAGGATTGAATAGCAAGTGAATGAGTCATTCCACAAATATGAATTCAGCACTAACATTTGAAGCTGCCAAACACAAAGATGCTAACCAAGGGGTTGAGTTTAAATTGTCCCCAAAATCCCAGTGTGCTTGTGAAGTGACCTGCAAGCAGTGGCCTTAATACCTGAGGCTACACAAGACTCCTGCCTGATTGGTATGGTAAGCATAACCCTCACTCTCTAGATTTCATATAAATTCACTCTTTAATTTACATTAATGTTCTCTCATGGCTGGCACAGTCCTGAAATGCACATTGTGCCACTAACACTGTATTTGACTGACATACAGCTCTTAGTGTCCAACAAGATTAGCTCTTAGTGTCCAACAGTCAGCCAAGATTACACACCACCCAAAAACTTCCTCAAGTTTAATGATAACTAAGTGCAAATCCAAAATGAACCTAAAAGCCAATTTACCATGTAGCTCTGTAAGTCTCAGCAGAAGCAAAGAACAAATGAACCAAAAGCACGTATGCTAAGACATAGCTTTTCCTGGAAGTTGCTCTGAATTACTACATTGCAAATAAAGTGCTAATATAACCAAGATTTTTAAATCTCTTTATTTTGCAGAGTTGGGATCCAGATTTGGCAAAGACTGCGAAAGGTTGGGCAAAGAAATGCTTATTTAAACATAATATATACCTCAAAGAGCCAGGGAAAGTTCACCCCAGATTTCCCCGTGCTGGTGAAAACCTCTGGACTGGCTCACTTCCTGCCTTTACTGTGAAAGGAGCCATCACCTCATGGTACAACGAGGTCAGATTTTACACTTATAACACCAATAAGTGCAGCAGAGTATGCGGCCACTATACACAGGTAGGCATTGCATTTCTCCATCTAAACCGTGAACCAGCTTTGCCATTTTGACACAGAAACTCTGCATTTCTGTTCAAGATTCAATGAACTTCTTCAAGCTGTAGTCTTACTTTATGTTTGTGTGCACAAGATGTTCTTATGTTCTCATATATGAGAGAAGAAGAGTCACTGTATTATTATTTTAAATATGGAAGTTGTTGGGTTTTTTTCAGGAAGAAAACAATACAGCCATCAAGCAGTCAGATTTAGCCAAGCAGTGGCCAAAAAACAGGCAGTGGCTATGGACTTCAGTGCTTGGTGGGATGAGGTCCCAGCTCTGGCAGGCAGCCTCCACTTGCCAAGGGCTGGGGAAATACCATCACAAAAAGAGATGTCTGCAGTTCTGCAAGTATCATATGCACATTTTGCTCAACCACTATTACCAAAGAAAGAAGGCAAAGTGAGGGAGAGGAGTACCACTGCATGCAACCCCACAATCACTACCCACAGCTATGTGAGAGCAGGACAGCAGCAGCTCTAGGGTTAGATTTTCACCTGAGGCTATTTAATATTTCCTACAAGGATACACATCTGCCTTTAGGACTTGAATAGATGAAGTGAAGCTGGTGGGCTGTCTGAACGATACACGCAAGTACTTGTATGCAGAGAAGATACTTAGATGCAGAACCTGTGAGAGGTGACAGCACATTCCTTTTTGACCTTGCTCATAAGGACATGGCAAGAGTCAGCATCTCGAAACTGCAGTGAAATGCACTTTATCTGGCAGTAAGGCACAGTGTTGTTTGTAGAGGAGCAGTCCAGGCAGTTTCATGGGGGAGAATGAAAAAATAAGATTATTCCCACTTGAAGTCAGTGGTGATAGTGACTGTAGCTAGAAAGATGTGTGTGTCCACCAGCTTTGGGAGGTATCCTTGGATCTTTACTTTTTAGGGAACTCCTCATTCCTCTTCCTCCTTCCCAGCTATGGAGAAGAGAATTTCCCCTGGGTGCAATTATTGCAGTTACCACAACTACATCTCCAGCATATACCTCAACCAGTGGCTGCCCGGGATGGGGAAGGTTGTGTGATTCAGTCCTTCACAGTTCTTGGGGATGCAGTTGTCTATGGCTGGTGTCAGGAGCAGCCTCTGGTCTGCCACTGCACTGAGAACATCCTCAAGAGCCTGAGCATTGTCCCCACCAAAGAGGCACAAGCAGAAAGAGTCATGCCTCCTCTTCGAGGCAGGGGCACGAATGTGTTTATCTCCTGTGCTGTTAGGGTCTTTGACATCGTCAGTCATCGCTGCTGTTGTATCACCCTCAGGTACCACTGTACCCATGTCTCCACTCAGCTGCTGTCATGGGATTTATTTTTCCAGAACTGCAGCATTTGACTGTACTCTAATCTTGGAGCTGGATGTAGGATGCTGGATTGCACAAAAGGGCTTCTGATAGACAGAGGATCACTAAATGATGTAATGCCCTTGTCTCTATGTTATCTCAGTCATGGCTGTGATGCTAAAAGGCAGGACTGCAGTCTGGACACAATTCTTTTCCCTGCTCCTCCTGTAACACCAGTGCCTTCTGGCAATTTGCCTATATGTCCTTGCAGGATTTAGTACAGCAGCAATCAGCCCTCGTAGAAGCTGTAGCAGATCATGCAGCCTTTTCTGCACAGGTTCGAACTGTTCTCCCTCGGCAGAAAAGGCAGAAAGCTAATGGATTAGCTTGAAGCCAGTGAGGTGAACTTCACCTTCTTTGCAAGAAAGGAAAACAACCTGTTACAGCCAGTTATTCCTGTTTTCAGCATTGTTTTAACAAATATGTGGCAAATTGAGTGTAAAAACAATCAGTCATTTTTCAGACCAAACCATGGGTTTGAGATCCATCACTGCTGCTTTTCCCCATGAAGCCTGCCCAAGGAGTGCTCCTCAGCCCATTTGGATGTTGTAAAGCGGAGGGCAGGTCTTCTCCTAATGCTTCAGACGCTGAATCAAAGCCTTTGTCACCAGTGTACCTGTCTATCTTTGCAGGTTGTTTGGGCTACAAGCTACAAGGTTGGCTGTGCCGTCCACTTCTGTCCCAGGGTGGCATCCATAACCAACGCTGCACACTTCATCTGCAACTACGGGCCGCCGTAAGGTTTTTCGCTATGAATATTTCACAGGGTCCTATCCCTTCCATCCCACAACATGCAACCTTATTAGATTAGTCTATCTATTCATGTCTTTCATGGAAAGAAATGGTTCCCAAAATGGAGAGAGCTACACCTCCGTCCAACCATCTTTTTTTTATTTGCTGTATGTATTGAAGCCAGAAAAGCTGCTGACATGAAAATACTGAGTGATCATCTGAAAATCAGTCCCTTTCTCCTGAGTCCTAAGATAGCCACAGATGGTTGCCAAGGTGCAAGCCCGAAGTCTGAAGATACTCCCACACATGCCTGCATAATTAAGCCTCTAGGTTGATGGTTTGATAAATTTTGAAGTTTTCAATGCTTGCAGCTGTGATCTTAGCAACTCAGGGCTGCTCATGAGGCTTGAGCTGCTCAAAATTTGGTCGAGAGGTCCTTCATACACAGTCAGTAGGATATCTAGCTAGGATGGATGTATTTTACCCTTCTCCAGCTAATTAATGCCACCACAGTCTAAATACAGCTTTAAAAGCTTTACATGCATAGAGTGTTGGGCCAAGACCAGACCAGCCCTTGATCTCAAACTTTGGCATTCCTTTTGCCTTTGCTTCATCCTTGGAAGAATATATACTGCTGACCAGATCCCTTGAAGTGACATAGCAACTGCTTTTCCAGAAGCCCCACACCCAAATGTGTTGTGCAGAGGACCAAAATCAGGCTGGATTGTTTGCCCTGTGTTGAGAGGGACCCCATGGGGAAGAAGAGTGATGCCCTCACCAGCACCCAGCAAAGCAGGCAGGGTGCTCTCTGGGAAGACAAGGGGCTCTATAGAGGGCTTTAAAGCTGGGCCCTTCCCTGCTGAGTGAGGACACTGCAAACGGACCGGTATATGCTAGCAAGTGGAGTAATGTCACATCCAGCTCTTGCCTTTGAGAAGCAGCAGCTTCATTTCTTTCTTTCTGTAATCCTGAACTCTTTTCAACTCTGCCAAGGGCCCAAGCAAGATGCATAAACAATTTCAGTTCCTAAAATGCAACAAAAGCCTCACCTTGCTGAAAGTAATTGAGGTCTTACCATGAAGTTTAGCACTGCTGAGATTGCATGCTTAAAAAATTCTTCTGCCTGTGTTTCTGGGAAGTTTGAGGCATGCTGTAAATCTTGTTTTGGCCATGCTCCAAGCAAAGTGAAGCATTGAGCTGTGTTTGGTGCAGTATCAGACATGGGCAAGTAAAATCGAGCCAAGAGACTGGGCAGAGGTTGTTGGTGCCAGTCATGCCAGTGGCAGAGGGAGGGAGCAGAGGGAGACCCATATCATTCCTGAAGTATTTACAAACAAGTGGAGGAAATCACTACCTATGGGAGATTCTCTGACACCAGAGATTTCCTCTTCAACATTGAATACACACGTACACACACAGTAACTGAAGGTGCTCTTGTTTGTATAGCTAGAGCCAGCTTTGAGACGCCAGAGTTTCCATGCACACTAGTTACCCAAGTTTGAGCCTGCTTAATTCCCAGGAACTGTCTCCAGGTTCCTGAGCAACAGGGTGCCCCATTACATTTAACCTCTTCTGCTTCACTGCCTGTCTTAGGCACAGGGCACTCAGACAGGACTGTCCAAAAACCATCACTCTATCAACACAAGTGAAGGAAAAATCAGGTTAAAATCTAATTAGTGGTAGGTTCTGCTCCCAAGGGCTGTTTGAGAGCAGTGTTACTTTGCTTCACAGTGGGAATTACCCAACGCAGCCGTACAAGACCGGAGCAGCGTGCAGTGACTGCGGTGGTGATCAGTGTACCAACCATCTCTGTCGTAAGTAGAGGACAACCAGTCCTTCTTCCTAAGCAGAAAGAGCACACAAAAGATACCGACAGGAAGCAGGCACAGCACTCTCCTGTTCTTAAGTATAGACTGAAAAACTGCAGTCAGAAGCCAAGTGGGCAGTGATGCTCAGAGAGGAGGGAGGAGGGTGGAAAGAGCCTGTTTTCTACCCTGGTGAGTGACAGGGTGGGGTCTGCTTTCCATGTGCTACAGACTATAATACAGAAGATATGGGGGCTGCAGTTTAAGGTGTTATCACCTCCACTCGCACCAAAGTTACTGCTTGCAGAACTAGGAAGCAGATAATGGGACACGTGTCCTGTCCTGGGGGCTCTGGGTTATTATCTGATGCATGAGCTGTGGCTTGAGCTGGTGCAGGTGGGGAGAGCCTTTCCCCTGCCATGCTGCTGCAGGTGGGGAGAGCATCCACAGCACTGCCAAAGCTGTTCGCTCCAGTGAACATCAGCCAGGCCATCTACTTTCCCCTAAGCACTGGGACAGAACAAGGCTGACATGCAAGAGCCCTTCATGGGGATGTGATGCTCAGCCTGAGTCTGACAGCCTACCTGATTCAGCTGCACTTGGCTTTTTAACGGCTGCATGGTGTCAGGTGGGAAGGAGACCACCTGAAATTCCTGTAAGGACAAGGCACTGTTCTATGGACATCCGCTTGGGGGTTGCTGAGAGTATGGTCATGCTTTTCCCCAGCACTCGATCTTTGATGAACTAAAGGAGTGGGAAGGTGGTGTTAAAACACCAGCACCGCAGGAACATGAGGGAGTCCCGGATTCACAAGGCTGTTTATTGTTAGCTGCGGGCTGAGGATCTTAAACATAAAGTACGGGGCAGAAGTCAAAGTAATCTTGGGAAGCACACCTAGGGGAGTGAGTTGTCTCTGCATCAACCACTGATAGGAGGAGAAGTCAACACGGTGTGATCAAGCACTCCTCAGCAAAGTCTCTGTAGGGACTCTCCAGAGAGTCACTGCAGGGCTCTCCCAGAGTCAGTGGGTCTTTGCTTCTTCCTGGAAAGCAATGCATTTCCCATACCTGTATTTGTGAGGCCGTTGTGAGGCTCACACTTCATTCCCTTTTGGTTAGAGCCAAATAGTTTCTAACTTAAAAGTCTGCTTACATTCACTTGTTTTCTCTCTCCAGAAAATGCAGAGCGCGACAAAGTCATTGGTAAGTACCGCTAGAATTACTGCTTCCATTTGTTGCCCTTGGTGCAGTAATACTTGAAAACAAGTGAATTGTATTGTTCACAGGTGATCCCACATGGCGTCCAGACTGGGACAGACCTGCATGTGATGAGTTCTGCATCTCTGTTATTGCTCTAAGGTCAATACTCCTTATACTGACAATTCTGGCCACCTGGCTCATACCCAAATACTGGTCTCTAGCACCTGCTAGTGGGTGACACACATGTAGATGATCACACGAGCGCTTGGCTTGGCTCAGCTTATCCCTTCCCTTCACATAAGTTACTGGTAGCATAAAGATTGGTAGAGACACTGTTTGCATCCACGACTGATTTAGAAATACAGCAATACCATCTTCGTTGCAGGCAGCAGCTACGAGAGCTGATAAACAGCTTTCTCATTGCTCAGAACCAGTTAAAAAGTTAAAATGGCTTTAGATGTTAAAATGGCTTTAAAAGTTAAAAAGTTATAAGTTTTTTGAAGTGGAGCAGTGTGTGTGGGATCTGCTGGGTAAGGGAGCATGCTGTCCGGGCAGCACACTAAGGTCCAGGCAGCTGCCCAACACACTTTCTTTAGGAAGGGCTGGAGGGTGTCTAGCCCAGGAGCCTGGCCCCAACCCCCAGCCAAGGTCCAGGGAGAGCACTCACCTCTCTCATTCCTATTGCACTCTTTCCTTGGATGCTCCTACAGCAAGGTGCAGAGTATCCTGTATCATTTAAATCTTGTTTTAAAGAATTTTTGGATCCCTGTGACCTCTGGCATTTGTATCCTGTGGCAGGCAGTGTGTTTCCCAGTCGCTCAGTGCACTTGAGCCATTGGTACTTCTCTTTGCTTAGAATTTGTTTTTAAACACACGTCATCTATGCCAAGACAGTTTCAGCTGTGTTTACGTGTTTATGTATCACTGCAATCTTACCTGGTTGTTTGTTTTTTTTTCTGAGCTTAGCGGTTTTAGTGCTGTTTCAAACAATAAATTGTTATTTCCTGCTTCCTGCGTATGGCAATTGCGTATTTCAACATGAGCTAAAGTTTAACTGCTGGTGCACAAAATAACACCACAATCATCTCCAGCTTACACAACACTGAGAAACAAAATGCTGGGAAAGATAGAACTCCAGATAAAATCACACTGTACCCATAGTTAAGACTTTGGTTCAACAGCTACTAAAGAATGAGTCTCCTGGAACTTGCACATCTGAAGCAGGCACAAAGCTGTGGAAACAACTGCTATGTTCAGCTGGGTGTGACCTCTGCCACCTGCAGTTGCTCGGCTCAAGCAAAGCCTTGAAGGAGCAGAGCTGCACAAACTCACAGCTAGACTGTAGTGATTTGTATCTATACATTTGGAAGCCTCTGCACCATGTCCCTCTGCAGGGCACTGACTCACAGTGCTGTAAAGGAAGTTCCCTTTCACCTCTTTATTTCTGGGATACTGTCACCACAGTACCTTTCAGTGTTTCTGCATACCTCCTCCTGATCCCACTATTGGCATGAATTTTTACTGAAAACACTGGAATTGGAACTCAACATTTCTCATGCTACTACCTGCTTGCACTAGAGTCATTTTGGCATCACAGCATTCCCTGAATAAATCACTCATGCAGTCTGTGCACTCGTGTAAAACCCAAGCCTCAAGCTCCATGTACTGCAATGTCCCATCAAAAACGGGCCAGCATATGGGCAGCAGGATTTACTCTCTCTATGCTGTCTTGCACAGGGTTCCTACAGCAGCACGGAGCCCACCACAGTGTCTGCTCCTATGAAGCCCTGTGCGGTTAGATCCTACTACCAGGAATGCAGGAAAGGGAAGCGCGTGCACTGCTGTGTCCAGGGAGCTTAAAACGAGGTCAGCAGGAATTCCCCCCTGCTTAGTTTAATCTATGCTCAGTCTCCAGGAGAAGAAACAAGGCAGAGACCTTACAGTTCAAAACATTCACAGGACTGACATTTAACTATATACTTTAGCAGCTCTTAGGAAATACTATAGAAAAAGCTTCCTTTAAAAACCTGGAAATCACGGGGGGCTTAGGGTAATTAAAACCCCAAACTTTCCAATGTGGCATCTTTTGTTCAAAAAAAAAGCCTGAAGGTCAAGAAGCCAAAGGTAAACAAGTAGCTTTGTCATCTTAAGGACATCCAAAAATCAGGTATTTAGCTCTGGATGATCAAACCACTTTGAACTGTCCACACTTATGGCATATGCCCATGAATTCCATATGACAGATGCAAAACACTGATATATAAATGAGTTTATGGAGATAATTCGCAATAGTTCAAGCTGTTCTGAAAATACAAAAAAACCTTTTTTACCCTTCCAAATCCACTACATTTTCTGTTTGCTTTTTATACAAGTTTTACAACTGAATACTCATACTCTCAGAAAACAGGTGCAAAAAGCACCAACAGTGTGATACCATGCAGCCAGTTACTATTCAGATGTGGACTCTTGGGCAGACAAATCCTTTGGTTTAACTTTCCTACAGGAATGAGTAAACTTTCTTGATTTTCCAGTCTAAACAAATAAATGTCCAACCAACAATCCTTGAAATCCACAATAAACAAAAAATATGAAACAAAATCTTACACCCTTCCACCCCATAACAACAGGACAAGACTGCCTGAAGACTGCTAAGAATTCTACAACAGATAGGGATTTGATCTAAAAGCTACATTTGATATAAAAGCTAAAAATTTAGGACTCAGTTGTGAGTCCTAAATTAAAAAAGCACACTTCCGCAGAAAGTATAATTTAAATCCAGGCTGCCACCAAGGTGGGCTATGTTTTCCTGCACTGCAACTCAGGCAACCAAGCATTTACCTGATGCAGCTGGAAAATACTTTTTTTGTAGGATACTTTCACAGCCAGATCAGGTTCCTGAAATGATATGCCAGCCTGCAAGACCACTATGGGACAACCAGCCCTACAACTTGTTTTTAACCTTTTAAACAGGAACACTCGTGCCACTCCATCATGAGAGGGGCTACATGCAGTTCAGATTAGAGCCAAGGACTCTCCCTTCCCTAAGACACTCATGGTCCTTCACTGGGTACAGTCAGCCTCCCCCTTACTGGGTTCTCTGCAGACTCCTCTGCTGAAGCACATTCGTGGGGGCACACTCTCAGAACTGCCATTTAAACACACTGCAGTGTGTCCTGTTGAAATTAGTCCTTGCACTCTGTGAAAGGTCTGAACTACCTGACAAACTCTGAACATCAGTCTCCCCTTTGCACTGTCAACTGCCAAACGCCAGTTGGGGTTTCTAAAAAAGCTATCTAACCACATATATTCAAAATTTTTATTTATATGTGTAAGAAAAAAAAATTGGCTATGTTTTCACCTACTAGTTTCAAATAAAAGGTCACCCACCTAAAAGCAGTGAGTGGCACCATTCTAGCATAATCATTTCCACTGCACGTGCAGGTGATCAATATTCTAAAACCTGGCAAAAACACTCTAACAGAGTCAGGAAATTAGTGTGGCTCTACCTCATTACATTTGTTTCTTTAATCTCAAACATATGAAATAAGCAACAGCTGCTCTGCCGATCCACTTTATTTCATCACATTTTGAATTTTCAGGAAACTGAAAAACCTCTAAATTTCCTTTAAAATAGGGGAAGGACCTCAAAAAAAAAAAAAAAGAGGAACACAGTTTTTTAAGACATTCTTGCAAGCAGGAAATAAATTAAAAATATATTTAAAGGTAGATAAAATGATTTTATGCTTTCTCTGCAGCACACACCCCGCATAAAGACATTTTGTACCACATTCTGTCTAAAATACCATAAGGATAATGCTAATAAATGACAGTTTATTAATGGTATTAATGGTAATCAATGAAGGTTATGGTTCATCTAATTCTCATATGAAGCTGTGAGTTTGTTTCCTGGAAAACAACATGTCGGTTGGGCAGTAGACTATTAATTAAAGGATTTAAGAACAATGTATTAAAATAGTTTATTAACATCAAGACAAGACACAAACAAATAATCAGCTTTTACAGAAACAAAAGCATAATACAGTAAAAAATCTTGCCCGTTTAGCAAAAGTTATCACCACAACTGAGGCTGTCTGGTAGTCTTTCACAGAAGAATTACCTTTAACTTTCACCTTTTTAGAGTTCTCTGACCCTAAAGTTTAACACTCCACATCAAACTCCTAAATGTTTCTATTATGAAACCTTCCCTTTAGGCAGATGGGATATTATCCAGCTCTCTTACTTTCTCAAACACTATAGTGGCACAGATTTTCTTCACCAACCTTGGCAAGTCTGCACAGCTGCTTTAGGTCCACTAATTAAACTGTACTTGTGAAAATAGAATGATCTTTCTACCTAATCTTTTCTTGTCCAGATAATACCGACAGCAAAAAGTCTCCAATCTTCCAAGGGTGAAAATGTTCATTATTGGAGGAGAAAAGTGAGCCATCTTGGATGGTGAATTACTTCTTTTTCTTTTTTTTCTTTTCATCTGCTGCCATTTTTAACTTTACTTCTTCCTCAGGAAGCGCTCCTAATTTCTTTTTCTTTGCATTCTTTACCTTTTCCTTGATGGCTTCGATATCAATTTTTTTCTCAGTGGAGGCTACATAGTAAGAAATATAAAGGTAACAGACATGAATTTTACTTCTTAAAAATTTTAACAGTCTACGAGATGACTTCATATATAAACAGTAAACTGCATCTCGTGGCATTGGTTAGGACTCATTTTATGTTTACTAATGTTTTTATAGATTGTTCATCTAATCATTTTTGTTGAAACTCATATTATCTACAAATATTATTCAGCAGAATTCAAAGGAGAACAGTCATATAAAAAATCCCATACAACTGCATTTGGACACAGATGCCACAATACAAACTATTATCCCCCACCCCTCAGAACACTACTGTACTCCTCTGAAATTCATACATACACACTGTCTTAGACATAGGTCTATTGGCATGATTGATCTCACATAAGAAGAGAAGAAAATAACCGAGTGCTTATATCTAGAAGATCTTTCATGGTATTTTGTCTTTCTGCAAGTAACTAAAGTGGTAAGATCCCAAACATGCCTGTCCGTGGCAATCCATTATTGACCACTGTTGGAAAAAGGATGGGGAAGGGTGGGCTGGAGGGCATATGGTGCAGATCTTTGACCCCTGCATGCAGACCTTTATAAGAGACTGCTACAGAATACTGAAGTGAAACACTTAATGCTGAGCAACATGAATAACCTACTCTTACGTTCACCTAAGTGACGGTATTTTCCTCTTTTGAGCACGAGTCATGAATTTGGATCTAATCTCTCCTATCTCATACAGTTAATTCCTACATCTAACAGTAGGTACCATATGTCTTCTTTGGATCTCAGTTCTTCTCTTCATACAAACTGTGCTGTCATCTATTCTTGGAAGACTGAAGGATTTTAGCTCAAAACATGCATCAACTAGAAAAGCACCATATTTGAGAGACAGTGCAGTCAACAATAGGCTCATTGGAAATTTACTGCCGCCACAAAAAAAATAGTACTGTATCAATGCTGCAGAACACATGCTTCTCAAGAAACACAGACTTTTAAGCTCATAAGAAATTGTGTAATATATAGTGTAATAATATATAGGTAGTATAGCCAATACAAAGCCTACATAGTATATCTAATACCATGAATATGCAGCATAACCAATGAATCCAGAAAACTGAAGACTTGTTTCTCTAGTGCATTAAGGAAATCATCTGAGAACATAAGCTCTTACTCTGCATATAGTGGGTTTTGCTTTAACTTTTAAAAACAGCTATTTACCCTATCTTGTACCAGTACTTACTTGTGGCAAAAGTTTCCAAGTAAATACTGCTTTTGGGTTTCTTTTTAAAAAAGCCACTTGAAGGTAAAAGTTATGACAGCTTCACTATAAGACTGAAAGCCAGAAATTGATGTAGCCAGGACAGCAAATCGAGACTGGGCATTCTACAGAAAATTGTAATTTTACAGGTATAGAACTATTGGCT